CCTGTCTAGTCCTTCGAATCCGAACCCTCGGACGGGAGCGCCGCCGCACTTCCCAAGCGGCGCACTATCCAGTGCGCCACCGGGCCGGCCCAACATTTTTTTTTTTTTTAAAGGTTTCATATGAATGAATCTGTCTTGTTTAAGGCTATGAGTTTCAAAATAATTTCATAAAATTGTTACATGTTAAACAGAACTATTGGTAATTAAACAAAATAATAATTGATCCATACTTTCTGACACAATCTAGTACCTCTCACCAAGAAGTTATAATTTAGAAAACAGCCAAGATGTCTTTTAAGACAAGCAAGCACACACATGAACGTCACATCTTTTAAAAATTCAAACTGTGAAAGGACAAAAATGTGACAAAACTTCATCTACAAGAGGAATCTGAAGGTGCTGTCTTGACAAAGTCTAATTATTTAGAATGAGCAGTAGCTTAAAATCTCTAATGTACTTATTCTTTCATTTAGCAATGTACTTATATGGCAGGATACTAGAGCCTGGCTGCATTCAAAGATCAACACAATAAAATATTTGCCTTCAGCAAATGTAGAATTTCTGTCTGTCTTTCCTTCCTCTCAGAGGCAGACTTTTGACCCTCCTGCCTTCCTTCTCCTGGATCTCCCCTCCAACCCTCCTCCTCCCACTGTCTGAGGTCTGAGTTCACATAGCTCTGCCTTTTGGGGCATTGAGCTGTAATAACTGTAGGGATATGGCAACACTAGAGAAGAAATAGGATTAACTGGAAAGTAAAAGTGAAAGGATAGGGAGAAGGACTGTAGCAGGTGATATAGATCTTTTTGCCAGAGCAAAAATTAGGAAAGATCACTGTATCTTGACCTTGGCAGCAAGTTAGAATCACTGATGGAGCTCTTAAAAATTCCTGGTTGTTCAGTAAAAAGAAAAAGGGGCATGTCCCATTTGATTCTGATTCTAGTTCAATCTGGATATCACAGGCTTTATCCAACAAACTCCCTTATCAGGACAACAATGAGCTCTTTTTTGCTCGATCCAATTATCACTTTTCATCAAGGCCTTCCCCGACCTCTCCACGGTTCCTGACACTGTTTCACAAGATGGATAGCTACATTCCTGGGTCTCAAGGCCGACCCAGTAACACACGGGGTCTTGCAGTGTTTTCCTGAACTTAGTGTTTCCAGCAGTAACATCGAGTGGAAAAATCTGCGGTGGTGCCCCCAGCAGAGCAGCATTTTCTAGCCTCTCCTCCTGGAGGAGGAGCACCTAGGACTCTCCCTTTGGACTGTGCACTGTAAAATGGTGACAATCACCCAAAATGTAAAAAAAATGAGAAACACTGGCAATGTAAACAGGACAAGACTTGCTTGCCTCTTGTATGAACTATCCAGACTTGCCAACCTCTTCTGTGAGACAAAAATCAACCTTCACACTAGGTAAGCCAACCTGGAATTCTTGACCTTGCGATTGTTGTGACTCTAGGAAGGTGTGGCTTTCACAGTCAGTAGAATAAAGGCTTAGTAACACCTAGGAAAACCCTAAGTTGGTAATTCGAGATCTCTGTTGAGCCCCAGTCTCCAGAAACCAACATGTCCACCAGGAATCCTCATTTGGATATCTCACAAGCAACTCAATCAAATTCAGCAGGCATTGTTCTGAATTCATGATCTTTACCTCTGATCTTGTGCGTCCTGTATTTCCTGTGCTGATTAGTTAGACTACATTCACCCATTTACCAAAGAAATTGGGAGCCATCTGAGAAACCCATTTTACTCCCTTCCCCCTACATCCAGTCTCTAAGTCATATTGATTTTGCTTCTCTGATATTTCTAGAATTCTTCTCCTTGAGGACGATGACAAAAATGAAAATTATAATAACAGCAGTAGCAGTAATAGCATCAGCAGCAGTAACAGGAGTATGGCAGGAACTATCCTTATGGAGTTCTTAACCATATTTAACCTTTAAACATGCACGTACTAAGAAACAGGACTGGAACAAAACAGCAAAATACTAACGCTCATGTTGGTAACTTATGCATCATAGAATTTCAGACAATTTTTTACTTTCTTCTTCCTAAAGTATAAAAAATAATTTTTTAGGTTTTTAAAGTAATTGTATTTTACTTCAGTGATAGATAATAAACAATGCTAAAATGTTTCCTTCTTATTTTTCTGTTAACAATCAAGTCAATCAAAAAATCAAATCTAGATCACAGATAAAGCATCATAAAAATAGTAAAGAGGTTTACACTTACATAAAGTTATTTCATCATTTTTCTAGTAAGCATAAAATAATTTAATATTCACAACTATTCTCTTTGTATCATATAGCTTTATGTGTGATCTTGTTCTCCAAATACCAATAGAATAGCCAGCAAACAAAAATCAAAGACTGTTCATTAGTTAAATAATTGTACGTTAATTAAGCCTAATATCTTATAACAGGTTACTATTTCCTCAAATACCAATAGAATAGCCAGCAAACAAAAATCAAAGACTGTTCATTAGTTAAATAATTGTATGTTAATTAAGCCTAATATCTTATAACAGGTTACTATTTCCTCTAATAGCTAAAACTGATTAAGCAAGGAAAGAGATATAGTTAATGTAGAGTATGCAAAAAGCAAATGTACTTCACAGGGCCTGGTTTTCCAAAGCCTTGCAGTTTCAAGTATTGACCTTGCAAAGGGCAGGAAATTTTCCTCAGGCTATATAGTCTCTGTTGTAAGATAAAGAATTGTAACACAGCAAGGTTCCTGGCTCAAAGACAGAGAGGTTACTGATTGATATGCAAAGATACTGGGAAATTGCTGTAAGAAAAGAATATTTGCTAAAATCAAGCTTTTGTTAGTGGATCGACTTAATTGCATGTTACCAGCTTCTATTGTTAAAACTATAACCCTACCTATGTCTCTTCCTGTAACTTCCTGGGCTGGAAAATAAATGCAAGAAGAGAACACCGATTCATGGTTAATTTCCCAAATGGAAGGAATGCCTCTATCTTGAGGGTTCTGGGAGATCAACCCCTTTTTGAGGCTTCTCACTGCTCAGAAGAGATGGGCTTTGAGTAATCTTTGGCACATCACCCAGGGGAAAAGGGGTGACAAATCCGTGGGAGGCAAAGCAACAAGTTAAAGAATACTGGAAAATCTTAGAGAAGGGAGCATAACGAATTCATTCCCTATTTTGCCTAGTGCCATAATATAGAAATTTTGCCTACAGACATGAAAAGGCAAACTTCTTTTAAAAGCATACTTTTTCCCTTCTTTTGGTATCTGATTGTCTTGGGTTTGAATACTGCTCATAATCTTTCTAGCTGGTTATTCAACCTCACTGAAAGTTTGAAATATGGGATATATTATACCTATCTTCTAGCTACAGTAACCATATATCCAGGTTTGCCTAAGGCAGTTTCAGTTTATACTTATTATCCCAGAAGAATTATTAATATCTCATTAATTTTATTTTCAACTTGACTGAGTTAAGGGATGTTTGGATAGATGGTAAAACATTATTTCTGGGT